AAAAAATTTCCCTTCCACCTCAACCCCCCGCTAACCAACACACCACCATCTCTTCCGGTGCTGGCACTGGCACTGGCTCCGGCCACTGCTGTTGGCACCGACGCCAGCAAAGGTCTTTTCTTTGCTTTCTCTTCTCCCTCTATCTCTGCCTCTCCTCCTTCCCCCTTCCTCCCTCTCCACCTCCCCTCACCCCCGCCACTTCTCCCTGCCCCTCCCTAGGTCGCGCGATCTAAGAGATGGGAGAAGGGAGGAGAGGGGGAGAGAAAAAGGCAAAAAAAAAAATTTCTTCCTGCTACCGTCGGTGCCAACGACTGGCGACTGGTGAGGTGAGAGAGCAAAAGAGGAGAGGAAAGAAAAAGAAAAAGAAAGAAAGAAAAAGAAAAAGAAATTTTACATCTTAAAAATTTTTCTACAAATTCTAGAGTAAGTTCAAGTAAAATTTTAAACAAATACCAAAAAAAAAACTTATTTGCCAAACAGGGCCAATTCTTATCCTTTCATTATATGTTGATAGCAATATTAATGGCCAGCAATGATTTGGAGTTAACCAACACAACAAAAAGTTTATCATCCTCCAGTTTTAAAATAAAGAATATGGGCAAGGCTGATTATAAGCTAAGACTCAAGATCCACAGAGGTCGCTCTAAGAGAACTTTTATTTTGTTTCAAGGGACTTACATTAAATGGATTTTAGAGTGATTTTGAATCAATACCAAACTAGTTGATACTCCAATAGAAAATAGTCATATTCTTAGTATTGAGCAATGCCCTAAACCAAATTGAAAAAAAGAAAAATAAAAAGTAGCAAGAGTGCCTTATGCCATGGTTGAAAACTAAAAAAATTATCTTTAACAAATGGTTATGTATTTTAGCTTATTAGTTTGTTAAACCATTTTTTATGTTCATAAATCTATATACAAAATTATTTTACCAATGAAAATTTTTGTCATTTTAAAGCAAACCTTAAAGTTCCACAACTACTAATGTTGCAATATTCGTTTTAAACTTATGTTAGGATTTACATGAAAATCTTTTGAAAAAAAACCGATAAGTTAGGTTTTCTTTGATAACCCGGTTTAGCACTTAAAATTAATGAATTCAGATCTTAATATATTTAAACCATTTGATAACCAAAAATTGAACATCTGAATTAATTAAGGGTCTGTTTGTTTGGGCGAAAAATGTTTTCCGGAAAACATTTTCCACATTTTCCATTGTTTGGTTGTTAATTAATTTGGGAAAATGATTTCCAATGGAAAAGAACTTACACCTAGAGAAGGAAAATAACTTCCTTGTCTATCATTCTGAAGTTATTTTCCTTTCACACAGCTTTCACCGAAAGATGGAAAATCACGGCCTCACTCCACCTCCCATTGAGACAATTGAAGACCCACTCCACCACCAAGCTTCCCCCTCTCTCTCTCTCTCTCTCTCTCTCTCTCTGTGGGATATCAAAACACTTATAATTATCTTTTCTTGGCCCCTAGCAATTCCAAACTTGAATAATATTTTGAAGAGTTAAGAACTCTGGTTTCCATATGTCAAGAAAACAGAGTAGTATTACTTTGAGTTCGGTCAACTTTGATTAGTTTTCATGAGGTACTAACTACATAGTGGCAGCGACTTCTGGTATCATGTACCTTTAATTTACTACCTTTAGTTGCCACAGTTCACTTAATTAACAATTATATGCATGCAGTCAATTAATAATTATATTAAATTTTCATTGATGGATCTCGGTAGTGATCATCAATTAAACTTTTAAATTTTCATAAAAGAGACTCTTCTCCCCTTAATGATTTTTTTAAAAGGAAGATAAAAAGTCAATTAATTAGTATCATTAATAATTCCATTTAAGAATTCATGGTGTAATATGAATAAATATTTTATAAAAATGATAATATGATTATAATGGATAGAAACTAAAAATAACTTGTAATAAAATGAATGTTTTGAAAGTAGAAAACATTTGCAACATATCAACAAACACATCAGAAAATATTTTACTGACAAACCAAACACCGGAAAATAATGAAAAAAGGAATTTGGAAAATATTTTCACTAAATTACCAAACACTGGAAAAATATGGGGAAGGAAGTGATTTTCCAGGAAAATGACTTCTATCGAAAATATTTTCAGTCCAACCAAACGGACCCTAAGTGGCACTGATTTTCTAAGCAAAACTTGCTCCTAAAATTAAGTGATAAGCTATTTACTTATCACTAAATGTGTTATACACTCAAATATATTAGATTTAATACTTAATAATTCAATAATTTAATGAATTTAGATTTCAAATTTCAGCTTTCAAACTTTAGTTTTTAGACTTCAATTTTATCAAATGCACCCTTAGTTTAACAAAGTTTTTTCTTTTTTCTTTTAACCTAGACATTAGGATACTAAAAGTTTGAATTAAACTATTAGATAACATCAACCATATTGTTGAATTAAACTATTATATAACATCAACCATATTGACTTCAGAATAAAAATAATTTTTAAAAATTAGGGAATGACACTTAAACAGCTCATTGAAAAGCTCTTTCGACGCCTCAACTGCTAAGTAGTATAATAGGAGTGGCAGATATCCAGCTTTCTAAGGGTGTGTTTGAATTGCAATTTTTTGTATTTTTTGTAGAAAATGTACTATGACAATTTAATATATGTAAGGTAAAAAGTGATTGGAAAATATATTTATAAAAAACGTGGAGATTTTTTGGTAGAAACTCCCTTTCCAAATAAGAGTGTTTGGATAGAGTATTATTTGAAATATTATTTGAAATAAGTACTATAACATTTTTTATGATGCAATGCATGTGCCATAAAAAGATAATTGAAAATATAAAAAAGTGGATTAAAAAATATGTTTTTTATACAAGTAAGATATTATTTGATAAAATTGAGCTATCCAAACACACTTCTCAAATATTAATAAGGCAATCGGTGTGGGATGTACATGTAAGATTCTAAAGGAGTCACAAATTGACATGGATGACCCACTTTTTTTCTATTTTTCTGATCTTGTTTTGCAAAAAATTACGTCAGGGCAAGTACAATTAATAATTAAGAGTTCATTTATACTAAATGATTGAGAGTCACCATATATGCATATGATAGATTCAAATATAAAAATTTCTAAAATTAAGATTATGAACTGTTATTTAATTTGTATCTACCGTATAAATCATATGTTCCTTAAAATAAAATCTTCATAACAACAATTAGACAACCAATAGCATAACTTTTTCTTTTTTTTTTCTTCCCTGAACTGTTAATTTTTGGCCGGTTTTAGGTCTCATCATACATCAATTTCACCCTTGAGCGACCAAGGGAAAATATCTATTAGCCGCTTCCGTACTAGGCGGTGCCAACCCTGCTCAATTCCTCCACGTGTCAGCATATCCAAAATCACGCGCTTTCATCTCTGTGCATCATTAAGGGTCATTGTCAAGCCGGCCCCTTTATTTTACTTGGCGCGTTTCAGTTCCTAACGTCTCTCTCCGGCTTCGGATACCAGATCCGTTATTAACGGTCAATTTTCTTTTGCCACCAAAGACCATTTAAAATTGGTGATGTCCCCACCGCACTTCGTACAAAAGTGAAAGAAAAACTACTCTTTTGCTTTTTCTTTTTCTTTTTTTTTTCTCCAGGCAATATCCCGGGTCACAAACCACTGCATTTGTCTTCTTTGAGAAAGTTATACACTAGCTTACTTAAAGAAATTGATAAATAATTTCCCTCTAAAAAAAGCTATAAAATATGACTACAACTAATCGAATTAAGTGACGAAGATAAAGAGAAAATTGCTCCACTTTGTAACTATATCTTATATTTTCTTTCTTTCGCGGATAAAGTTACTCCTAGATCTCATACTATTTGCTTTGAAATCTGGTGTTGACGTTTAGTATAATAATGCTGAAAAAAGAAAGTTACCCACTCAAAAAAAAAAAATTAATTTAAACTTTTCATACTTTTATTACCACATTAGTTCTTTGTGGTGTCATAGAATACTTTATATAATTCTTATTAAAAGGACACTGCAGAAGGGCAATAGTGGAACGTCATAATTAATAACTTCAATATGTTAAGGGCTGATATGTAGTCCTCTTCTTTAAAATTGTAGTTTACAGAGATTAGTATTTTTTTTTTATTTTTCAAAAAGTGGGATTGGTTCCTTTTCCTTGAGGACAGGGTGATACCCTATTTATTTTTCACTTTTTGGTAGGATATGGACTACTTTGTCAAAATGAAGAATAAAAGCTCAATTATATGACTGCAAAACACTTTTAGAGTAAATTGGTGTAACTAATCCTGAAAATTCAAGGGTCGATGGGATATAGGTCCAGCATATTTGACCTTGGAAACCATTTCCATACTCTTACATATAATTGCTATTTGGTGTGCATTCTACATAATATGCACAATTTAGACCCTGTTTAGCTTGCTATTTTTTTGAGGAAAATTTACATTTTTTTATGAATATTGCATTTATATATGTTTTAATCATCTTTTTTACCTCACATTCTAAAAAATGCTACTCCATAATAATTTTTCCTTAAAAACCCTTCAAATATTACATTCCAAACAACCTTTTAGTTACAGATACACCTTTTAATCTTTGCAAGAAAAAAAAATAAAAATTTACAAATCAAAGAGAATGAATGCCATGAAATGCTTATCAAAATTGATATGCCAACTGTTTAAATACAAGCTGTAAAATGAATTCCCTCTTTTACTATGCAAGTTCACTCCCAAAAAAACAAAAAAAATGAAGGAAAAAAAACAAAACTTTATTGATCCTTAGAATCCTTAAAGAGTTAATAAAACTTAAATTAAGCAAGTTGGGCAAAGTCAGACCATTCATCACACCCCAACAAAAGCACCAAACACACAATTATAGCAACGCGTTTTTGGAATCTCCAATGCCTTATAAAATACTACTACACTGCTACTAACTTGGGTCCATTAATAATAGTAACTACTACTCCTACTGCGCTCCTACTTCCACTACTGTTTCAAATCTAATACGCGTTTTTGACAGATCCCATCCCATTTGCTTGCTTCTTCAAGACAGCTCTTAAAAAGCCTACCAGTCCATCATCATTGGAGACTTTGCTTACTTTTTGATTTGCTAGTTCTTGCTTGCAATTTGCATTATCCCTTTTTCTAGCTATATATTTTTGCTCTCTCTTTGTACATCTTCTATATTTAGTCTCATCTAAACCTCCTACACAAACAAGACACTTTCTCCCCGCACAAAATAAGCAATGCCATCCATTTTGTTGAGGATTTTCTTCCTATACAATCTCCTCAACACATTCCTCCTTTCCTTGGTTCCTAAGAAGCTTAGAACCTTTCTCCCCACTTCTTGGTACCCTTCATCACCACAACCACCACTAAATTTTTTCAAGAAAAAGGATAATACAACTCCACCTTCGTCCACCACCAACCCTTCCTCTTCGTTGCCGGCCTCATCTCCTCGAAGCATTAGACGCAGGATGGATGCGGACGAGCTCAGACGGGTTTTCCAAATGTTTGATAGAAACGGGGACGGACGGATCACAAAGAAGGAGCTGAATGACTCGTTGGAGAACATGGGAATATTCATCCCTGACAAGGAGCTAGCTCAAATGATTGCCAAAATCGACGTCAATGGCGATGGATGCGTGGACATTGACGAGTTTGGATCTTTGTACCAATCCATCATGGACGAGCGCGACGAGGACGAAGACATGAGAGAGGCTTTCAACGTTTTTGATCAAAATGGCGACGGATTTATCACGGTGGACGAGTTGAAAACCGTCTTGCAATCGCTCGGCCTCAAGCAAGGTAGGACTTTTGAAGATTGCAAGAACATGATCATGAAAGTTGATGTGGATGGAGATGGTAGGGTAAATTTCAACGAGTTCAAGCAAATGATGAGAGGGGGAGGATTTGCTGCATTATCTTGATTATTTTTATTAATACAATTCTTTTCTTTTCTTTTCTTTTCTTGGGTTCCCTTTGTGTTAACAACATTACTTTTGAGGGAGTTGTTGTTCTTTTTAGGTTGTAAATATAATATGATATTCAATTCTATATCCTTAAGATTCCCAATTCCAAAAAACAAGGGATAAGACTAGTGAACACAAGATCCAAAGCAATGCTCTAATGGTTATGGTCATCCACAAGAATATTCATAGATGTATATCGATGCCAAGACAGCTGAAGCTATTGTTGAATGCTTTCAAATGTTATTAATTTTGAGCACTTGGGATCCCTTCCAGCAAGGTTTGTAAAATCTCAATCTGGCATTTCTGCTTGCGATCATTAATAGTGATCCAAATGCAATTAATCTCTATGGTCATGGAAGAAAGTTGCTTTGGGATTGGGGATTTTGGGGAGGGGGATGTTAGGAATCCTAAGCATTATAAAGAACTTGTATTTTTATTTTTTAATATTGGATTTTTATTTTTTGATCTATCTTCTCCTTTTTTTTTTGTCTGAGATAGAATATTTTCAGTTGTTTTGGAAATTTTCGCAAGAGTGTGATGAGTGATTTTGACATGGAATTTTTATAGCTATTGAATAGTGTTTTGGCAATTCTCCTGCATTTGGACGCTGAAAAGTTGAAGAAAATTTTGAAAAAAAAGAAAAGAAAAGAAAGAATGTAATTATGCTTAACATCTATTATATAGAACAAGTTAATGATGTTTGCTGAAATTGAAATATTAGAAAAGGGAATTGCAACAATTCCTCTTTTCAATCTAGGGCTAGGCTCATAAGTATGAACCACCTGGGTCTTATTAATGAATATAAGCAAGGTTTCATGTGGCCGAGACTAGTAAGTCAGCACCTCTATAATCTATAAAGGAGATTGTTTAAGGTGGGACCTACGTGTCCTCGTCTCGCAGGCACCAGCTAATTGTTAGACAAACCTGTTGTTATCAGCTCAGTTTTTCTCAATTGGCGCTAACACTACTGCTGTTCGGCAGGAATAGCAACGGGCGTGGGGTGGCGTGGGGTGGGGGACCCTTGCCCTGCCTGCCCCACTCCCACTCCGCTGCCCAAATATATAATTTGTATTATATAAATATATAATTATTAGTATAATTAATTATATTAATTATATTGTATATACATAATTTAATACTTATAATTATATATGTGGGTGATGGAAGGAGGGTATACTCTATCAAGTGATCTCTCGTCCCATTAATCTTTGCATGGACACTCACTCTAATTGTCATTTCAACTGTTTAGCCTTACTTCGGGAATATTTCTTTTTAGGGGCAAATGCATGGTTGGCCCTTCAACTATTATTTGTACATTTTTAATCCACTTATTTGTATATCTTCAGCCTTTCAACTTCTAAAAATGTATGTTTCTTGTCCTTCGCCCGTTTAAGTCGTTAAGGCCAATAGAAGCTACATCATCACACTCAATACACGAGCAAAAATTGAAGGTCTAATAAAAGGGATAGCCCAAAATTGGAGAGTTTTTTATTCCATGCAAGTATGATCAAATAAATCATATTATTTCAACCTCCATGGCATGAGGAATTTGTTGGTATAAAATATTAGAAAATTTGACATCAATTGAGCCATGAAATGGCTGGAAAAAAGTCATGAGAGTGCTCTATTGTGTTGGATTTCAAACCAAATTCCTTGTCAATTTGACTGACGTTTGAAAGATTTGGTAGAGGATTTTCAAATGGTGATAAGAATACCATTTTTTATTTTAGATATATTCATATCTTGCAATGTTCACATAAAACTTAAACTAAATTTGAGATCAACACGAAAAATAGAGTTTAAAGATGTAGTTTCATTTAAATTGACAACAATGAGGTAGTGGTTAATTCTTGATTTAGTGGCGAAGTTAGAACCTTGGCCTAAGGGAACTTTGACCACTAAATTTTTTTAACATATTTGATTTATTGTAATCTATGTTGATTGGAGAAGTTTGAAGACCAAAATCAATATGTTAGAAAATTAACGGATATTTATAAAAAAAATTTCTCGTTCACTCCTTTCGTTTGATCCTTGTCGATTTGAATGAAGTTTGAAAGATTTGGTAGAAGATTTTCAAATGGTGACCAAACTATCTACTCATATCTTGCAAGATTCACATAGAACCAAACCAAAATTGGAGATCTATACAAAAAAAAAAAAGAGAAAAGAATCTAAATTTGACAACAATGAAGTAGTGATCAATCCTTGATCTAGTGGTGGAGTTAGAACCTTGGCCAAAACTTTGACTATTTAAAATTTTTAAACATATTTGATTTATTGTAACATGTGTTAATTGGAGAAGTCTTTAGAGTAAACTTAATATGTTAGAAAACTAATAGACATTTTTAAAAAAATTTCTCTTTCACAGCTTTAATTTGATCCTTGATTTTCTCCTAAAAACTTGATGATCACCTTTGGTTATTAAAAGCTAATAGGTGTGTACTCAAAAAAAAAAAGAAAAAGAAAGAGCTATCGTAGGTTAATTTCTTATTTTATTAGTGTTATATGAGGAATTTGTTACTTCAATCTCTATTCATTAACTATAGGTAAATTAATTTCTTATTTTATTAACGTTATATAAAGAATTGGTCACTTAAATCTCTCTTCATTAATTGTAAGTAGGTGTGCTTTACATGTTCTCCCCCATTCTCCCAATTTGAGCAGATGCAACTATTAAAAGTTATTGAAAATCTTCACAACTATGGTAATTTTGAGAAGTTGAGGGGGGCAATATCTACCCTCACTTCACCATATTACATAGCTTCGCCTCTGCCTTAGATCGGGCTAATTGATTAGAATATTGGTGTATAAAAGAAAAGTCAGACACTTGCGGGTCTGACAGGCCGTGGTATAAATCTATGGGTGCCGGGCCGTGTCAGCCCGGCACCTGACACCAAAAATTTTTTTTTTTTTTATAGTTGACACAGCCCGGCACCTGACAAAGTCTGCAAAAGCTGGCTGCCGGGCACTCTCTGCCCGGCAGCCAGTCAAATTGTTAAAAAAAAAAATTCGGCAGGCTGAAAAAAAAAGCTGGCTGCCAGTGAAATTGTTTAGAAAAAAAAAATGCGAAACAAGGTACTAAACTATAGAGCCTTCTTTTTGTTGGGGAAGAAAGAGGAGGGGTTACAGGGGCACTGTTGGATATACGTAGAGGCGGTAGGGAGTTGGGAATGGAAGCTAAATTGCGGAGGAAAGAAAGCTCCTGTTAAGTGAAAAGAAGCTCAGCAATTTGTTTTGTGAAAAGAAGGCAGCTCCTGTGAAGCAAAAAAGCTGAACCAAAAGAAAAATTTACGTACGATAACTGTTAGCCATTTAGTCCGGGTAATTTAAATATTTGAAATAATACCTATGCTAATAAAATAAATATATAAAATTAATGTAATTAGCATAGCTTAATTTCGAAACTAGTGATATTAGTTTAATGCAATTCATTTTTTGTTAAGATAGTTGATAATTAGTTTACGTTATGTAGTATACAATTATTTTAATTAGTTTAGTGGATTAATTAGTTTAATTAATTGAATGAATTAATTTTAAGAGGTCTGATTAAATGAATTTAGATGTATTTGGCGAGGTTAATTAATTGAATGGATTAATTGAACGAATTTGTGCAATTGAGTTTTGATTAAGATAGCCATTTAGTCGGGGCAATTTAAGTATTTGAAATAATATCCATGCTAATAAAATAAATACATAAAATTAATGTAATTCGCATAGCTTAATTTCGAAACTAGTGATATTAGTTTAATGCGATTCACTTTATTTGTTAAGATAGTTGATAATTAGTTTACGTTTTTTAGTATACAATTATTTTAATTATTTTAGTGGATTAATTAGTTTAATTAATTGAATGAATTAATTTAAAGAGATTTGATTAAATGTATTTAATTAAGGTGCTGGGCTGACCCAGTCCGGCACCTGACATCTTTTTTTTAAAAAAAAAGGCACCTGATATCTTTTTTAAAAATAGGGAATCTGTCAGGTGCTAGGCTGATATCTTTTTTTAAAAAAAGGAACATATCTGTTGTTTTTAAACCTGTCTGATTTTTTTTTTTTACACCTATATTCTAATCAATTAGCCACAGAAGAATGCATTTCTGACAATATTCTTCCATCCACGGAATTAAAGTGGAGGTAAGAATTAAACATTGGTTACATTTCTATGGTGGAAAGTTCACTTTTCTGCGCACAATAAGCAGAAGCAATGCAAATGTGGAGATGCATAAAGTAGTATATTGGACACTCGAAAAAACGAATTATGCATGGATGAAAAATATTATATATATTAAAATTATAATAAAAGTCCTTTTAAAAATTTATTCATTATTTAATGTTCAATACTTTATTTGGTATATTAAAATAATTAATTAAATATTCTATTATATTATAAGTAACTATATAACGTTAAGTCGATTGAATAATATGTAAGCAGTTATTGTTTCACGACCTGCTAAAGTCTAATGGAGCATAGTTTTTTTGTCCAATCGTACGTAAATTTTTCTTTTGGTTCAGCTTTTTTGCTTCACTGGAGCTGCCAGACATTTTTTGTTTTGTCCACAAGCCTGCCAAAAGGGGCAAATCTGAAGCAAAAAAGTGTGAAAAATTCACGAGAACTACTTTGTCTGAATTGCATTGAAGCCTGCCGATTTTTTTTTTAAACAATTTGACTGGCTGCCGGGCAGAGAGTGCCTGGCAGCCAGCTTTTGCAGTCTTTGTCAGTTGTGTCAGCCCGGCACCCATGTGTCTTTTATAAAAAAAAAAAAAACTTTTTTGTGTCAGGTGCCGGGCTGTGTCAGCCCGGCACCCATAGATATATACAGAACCCCTGTCAGACCCGTAAGTGTCTGAATATTTTTTTTCCACCTATATTCTAATCAATTAGCCCTTAGATCGATGGTTGTTGAAATAGTGATTGGATGTGGTTAGAGAAAGTAAGATGGTCAAAACTACATCATTTTAAGGCAAATTCTATTGGGAGTAATATTTGAAATTGACATATTTCCAGAAGTTGTAGCATTAAAAATACGCAAATAACAGTTAAAGGACTGAAAGCGTGCAGATTAATAATTAGAGGGCCAACAAGATTTTTTATGCTTTTTTTTATCGTTGCCTTGGTTATATTCATGCTTTAAGACCACAAAAACTAACGGTGATGCAATAGGAAAGTCACCTGACGCTGCATTAGTAATACCCTTCACGCCTTTTCCAGTTTTCCTCCGAACACCAACCCTGCACGAGATGGAGACCAGCAGGATGTATAACTTTCTAAAACTAGCATGTAAGTGTAACCAGGAGTTATTGGAATGCAGGATTCAG